GGGCATCCACTGGACTCTGGCACTGAGTCTAATCATTTAATAACACACCTATTAGAGACTTGAAGAACATACTTACATTTCTTTGCCAAGAGACTGGTAATAATACAGTTGATCCGCCTGTAAGGAGCAGTTCTAAATGAAGGGACATTAACAAAAGCTGCCCACTGGGGTGAAAGTAGAAATAGAAATGCTCACATACCAATAGGCTGATGGGAACTTCAGCTGACACATTTAGAACACCCCCCCCCCACCCAGGGTCACCCAGTCATCCATCATCTCCCAACTGGTATTCCTGTTCCTGGAAAGGAACCTCTCTCTCACTCCCTTCTTTCACCTTCTAGAACCACAAAGGTACCCTCTCCCCCTTTCTAAAGTGAATTTTCTGGAGTATCTTGACCCCAGGCGCACTTCAGACAAATTCTGAAGGTATAGATAGTCAGCCTGGGAGCTCTGGTAGCATAGTGGCTAAGGCACTTGACTGCTAACCAGAAGGCTGCCGGTTCAAATCCACCAGCCCCTCCTCTGAAGGAAGATGGGGCAATCTACTTCCTAGTGATACTGCCTCGGAAACCCAAAGAGGGGACCCTATGAGTCGGTCGACTCAATGGTACATAACAACAACAACAACAGATAGTCAGCCTGTCTTGTCTCCTAAAGTAGCTGCCAATAGGAACAGGAGTTAAGTGTGGGGTTTAGCTAGTCATTGTCTAACAGGAAGAAAGGCCTTTCCTTCTCGGCCACCTCTTACTGTCTACCTTCTTGAGTGGGATGTACAGTCCCTTATTAGGTGTAGTATTCAGGGGCAAACCTAATTTGCAGAAATTGTTCTCTGAAACCCAGGAATAAACTCTTAGCTATTTTCAGACAAAGATAGGAGTGTGTAGAAATGAGGTAGAAAGGAGCTTAAAATACTTCACATTCCAGAAACACCCTCCCTTCCCCTCAGGAGACGGCTTTTCTCCCCCTTCCTTTTTCAGCAGACTGGGACTCAAAGTAGCTGAAGCTTGGAGTCAGGCACCTGGTTACTACCTGTGTGGGCTTAGACAAATGACTTAAATGTCCCTGAGCTTCAGAGTGCTCACCTGTGAAATGGGGCTGCTACCACTCTGCTCTCAAGGTTATTATGAATTGAGGTATGTAAAATTGCTAGCATTAGTGCCTGCACCCAGGAGTGGCTACCGTTTGACTGAGTGCCAGAATGCTGTCAGTGTCCAATAAGGTGAGAGAAATTCTATAACTTTGTGCCTTGACAAACAGCCTCAGAAAAGGGGGATGAATACATTGGAAACAGGGTGGATATAACTAAAGAAGAGGAAGTGAGTTTTAAGAGTTCTAGTAATCCAAGTCTGTTTTGTCAACCAGCTACCTATAAACTGGGTTTGGTGACCAGGGGACAGTGGAGGTTGAATGGAATGTTTACCTGATGGGAGCAAATGTTCCATGACCAGCCCCCTTGCAGCATTTGTGGGCTGGATGGGATAGACTTGCCCCAAAGAGGCCTCTTCTAGGACTGTGCAAAGAAAACAGTTGGTGTTCAGAAAGGCCATGAGCATCAAGTCAAGAGAAGGCTGCTTTGCCTTGCTAAACCAAAAAACCAAACTCACTGCTGTTGAGTCGATTCGACTGAATGATGGGAGACTGAACTTGGAATCCCAATCTTGCTGTGTGACCTTGAGCAAGAAACAACCTTTCTGGGCCTCAGTACCATATAGCTGATATTGCTTACTTACAAGGTTATGGTGAAAGCTATTCAGAGGATCACTTTGTAAATGTCAGGAATTAAGAATAGCTTATGGACTCCACTTAGGCTCCACAGAAGTGCAGGCAGGCAATATAGACCCGGGTCTCAGCCACAAGGTGGGATTAGCAGGAGCTCTGGTGATATAGTGCCTAAGGCACTTGACTGCTCACCAGAAGGCTGGCAGTTGATACCCACCAGCCACTTTTTGGAAGAATGGGCAATCTACTTCCGTAGAGATACTGCCTCAGAAAACCAAGGAGGGGTCGCTCTAAGTCGAATCGACTCAATGGCAGTGAGTTTGGTTTTTCGGTGTAGCAAGGCAAAGCAGCCTTCTCCTGACTTGACACTCATGGCCTTTCTGAACAGCAACTGTTTTCTTTGCACAGTCCTAGAAGAGGCCTCTTTGAGGCAAGTCTATGCCTTCCAGCTCACAAATGCTGCAGAGGGGCTGGTCATGGAACATTTGCTCCAATTTATCCCAGCAAATGCCAGGCTCGGTGGCCCCAAGGAGGAAGAATTCCAACAAGTGATGGAATTCCCTGTTTACCTTCTCCACACACCCCATGCTAAAAAAAATGTGCTGATCATTATAACGCACTAGTTAAGACCTTAAACAAAAAAAAAAGTACTGCAGTAGAGTTGGATCTCACTCATAGTGACCCTTCCTGGGGTTTCTGAGGTATCACTATGGAAGTAGATTGCCCAACCTTCCTTCTAAGGAGTGGCTGGTGGGTTTGAACCACCAGCTTTCTGGTTAGTAGTCAAATGCCTTAGGCACTATGCTACCAGAGCTCCTAGTTAAGACCTTATGGGTTTTCAAATCCCAACTCATTTCCTTACTAGCTGTGGGACCAGCAGTTTGGTTTCACTCTTAGAACCTCAGTTTCCTCATCTGTAGCCCTGGCACATGGTTGGTGTAGCATAATATAAAGGAACAAGCCGAGTAGAGAGAACCTAGACGTAGGCAGGACTCTACCAGGAAGCAACTCTGACTCATGGCAACCCCACACATGTCAGACTAGAACTCTGCCCCATGGGGTTTTCAATGGCTGATTTTTCAGGCCTTTCTTCCAGGACATCTCTGGATACGCTCAAACCTCCAACCTTTCAGTTAGCAGCCGAGTGTTTTAACTGTTTGCACCACCCAGGGACTCCTTACCAGGAATAGCTATTATTAAGTTCTCCACTCTTACATTTATGGCAGATTTATGAGAACCATGGAAGGGAAAGAGAGCCTTAATTTTCTTGGAAAAATCACATTACAGCACAAATTCTCAGAGAATTTTTTAAAAGACACCCTGCAAAGGGTCATCTACCATTAAGATAAGGACAGTACCATCCTAAAGAACATAAGTTTTATAATTTAGAAAGCAATTAAAATCTATTACTTCATTTAATACTTGTGCAAACCCTGTGAAGTAGCATTTATCCCCATTTTACAGATAAGGATATTAAGGCTCAGAAAGGTAAGGCTAAATTAAGGCCACAAAGCAAGTAAATGGTGGAGTTGGGATTTCAAGCCACCAAAAGTACGAATCAAATCAGAACTCTCTGCAATTCACAAGAGAATTTCACGTGCACCAAGCACTGAGCCGATGTTGTTTAGACATGTCTGAAATGGCATTTCAGGAACCCAAAGTGGAACGACCAGGTTAGCAACATAGTTAAAGAAATGCAGCTCTGTTGCTCACTTGGAGCTACCCTGAAATAGTTCTCCTTGGTTCAGGGGACTAAGATGGCATACTCTGTCCCCACTTTGACAAGTTTGAGAAATCTTTTATTAGATGTCCCAGAAGGCAACATTTTAAAACCAAGCAATCAGTAACCACAACTAAATACAAAATTCCAGGTCAACTCGCCTTTCAAAATAAATCAGACCCTTGCAACAGGAGAATTGCCCAAGAGTTTTTTCTTGTACAAAAACACCACCACTTTGCAAAAGTCATACAAAAATACAGTATATGGGGGGGGGGGGGAGAAAGACTGTCCCAGCATAATACCTAACAGCAGCTTATAAAACACAAGCCTTTCAGGTTAGACATCAGTAACCCATATCCCACCTGTCCTCCAAATACAGTTCCAGATGTCAGTTGGTTCCAGAAAACCATGCTGCAGAATGCAAAGAAACTATTTGCAAACTTCCACTGGGGTTCTCTTAGGCCAGGAAGAAAAAAATCCTAATAAACAGACCATGGACAATAGGTTTGGGAGTAGCAGCTGGTTTTCCAGAGCCACATATAGAGTTCTGACATCCACACCCCAAACCACCACCAGTCCCACTTTCAAACCCACAGCCAGCAGGCACCTGCTGCATTGGGCAGCATTCTGGGTCAGACCAAACCTAGGGGCTCCTGAGGTTGCCCATATGACATCTGTTGGGTGCTCTTCCCAGGCTAGAGGCTGTACCCAGACTCCACTTGGAGTGCAGAGTCCAGCTGGAGCAAAATCCATCATGGTTGGCTAAGCAGAGCTACTGGAGGCTCCTTTAAAACCCACCAGGAAGCAAGTCCACCTTCCGGAGCACTGGCTCCACCAGATGAGTCCCAGTGGCTCTCCCCAGAACTTTGGTAAGGCCCAGATTCTGGGAAAGGGATATGATTCATGGCAGGCTGGCAGGGGCCCAAAGGTGACAGCAGAGCCAGGCCATCCTTGGAGCTGGATGCATGAGGACAGCTTTGCATGGTTCCACAGAACTTCCAATTTATCAATCAGGCATTGAAATGAGAGGGAGGTGGGAAAGGGGAAGTGGTACAGTTCTCCCTTCTGAGGTGCCTTATGCCTGCCTTGAGAAGAGAGTTCAACATGAACCTCAAGGAACCCTTAGAAAATACTTGGGCAGGGAACCAGTTCACAGGCCTCAGGCTAGGAACCACTTCCCTGTGTCTTGGGGAAATATTTTTGACCTGTGGGAAAGAGGTGCTGTAGACTCCATTGCATAACAAAGGTAGAATGAAACAAAAATGTCCCTTGTGAGGGACATAATGGTCCCTCCCTCAGAGGAAAGGGCCAAGGGCTTTGAGACAAAGAATCTAGAGGACCAACTCTTTAAAAGTTCTCAAGTTTGCAGCATTGAGAGTGGAAGGAGGAGGGGTGTCATCTAACATTTTAGTATATATAAAAGGTTTATATATACACCAGTTATGTCTAAAAGGTTTACCAACTCCTCAGCTACTATAAAGTGTCTGACAGTGAGGTAATGGTCCATGTTCATCAAGTCTGCAAGTTTGTCTCCATCTAAGACAGCTCATGTGTCTCCTGCAAAAAGGAGCCTCAGGAAGAACATTCAGGCCCAGCTGTCCTAGCATCACCCCAGAGACACCAGTGGGAGCATCTTTTCCCAGCCTAAAGTTCATCCAGACTGTGAGATTTCATGCAGGCCAGAGCCCCCCTACAACGTCCACCACCTGTTGCATAGCATCTGTCAGGCTTTTTTTTTTTTTTTTTTTCTGAGCTAGTGAGCTAGGCAGACCCCAAGGCTCCACAGTCAGCTGCCTGCCTGTGAAGCCAAAGGCGCCAGAGAAGACACAGCATTCCAACAAGTCAGAGAAGAGAGAGCCAGTTTCAAAGTTTCCAAGAATGCAAGCCCTTATTGTGTGCACTGGCTGCAATGCATCCTGGGATCTATTGTCCAGACTGTCCCATCATAAACAAAATGTGCAAATTACTAAGGGGATGGGAGAGGGATACAAAATAAACCTGTGATTTCATAAGAGAGAGCAGTCAGGCTTTTTGGTCAGTCAATAGCCACTGAGGTACGCAATTCTTTTCTGCAGTTGCTGTTGCTGGCATCGGAGCTGCCTTTTCTCCGTAGCCATCTTCTTCTCTGTACCCACGAGAGTTTGCAAGTATTCCAAGGCCTTGCTTAGGATCACTACTTTGGGGGCCTTGGAGCAGCTGGCCAGGGTAGGTACCTGGTCCCTCAGAGCCAAGAACCGTGAACGAAGGTCATTCCGCCTTTTGCGCTCCAGGAAGTTGTGGTTCTTCCTCTTGGTCACGTCCTCAGTATCTGAGCTGACAGATTTGGGGTGGCAGGACTGGGGACCCTCACTTTCTACAGGTGGAGGGCTCACAATCTCTTCTTCCTCATCTTCCTTTTCCTCTGGAGCATCTCTCAGAGCCTCTTCTTGGAGTTCCCTCTCTGGAACCCCTTCTAGGGAGCAGCTCTCTGGAGGAAAACGGGCAGCATAGTTGTGCTGCTGCTGATGGATGGAGATGTGGAAGTGTTTCATGCAGGGGTCCAAAGGGTCTGCTCGCACTGTGATGGTGACTGGCTTCCGTACATCCAGGGCCTGTCTCTTCTCCACTGTCACAACGTCAATTTCCTCCCCCTCTGTCCAAAAAGAGAGAAAGAGAAGGAACACATCCCATGAGAAGCACGTACACAGACCCTACAGCTTCAGCTCTCTGTGCTGGACCTTGAGAGGGTAGGTGAATTTTTCCCAATTTAGATATAAACAAACTGAAGTGAGAAGGCTAGCTGATTCATTTGCAATTGGGTATGGGCAGCCTAAAGGAAAGGAGGGGAAATAAGCAAGAAGGAAAATATTCTCCAATTTCCTTTTGCACAGCAAGGTTTAGATAAGAACAAAAGGCAAACCCAAGCCAACAGCCCCCAGTCTGCACAGATCCTCCCCTCCCCCACTGAGGGGATGGAGAGAAAGAGCTACTGGCCTGGACAAAGTTTAGCTATAAAGATCTTCCTCAGTCGGACTCTTTCATGCCCCATCAGAATTGTAAATGAAGGGTCTGTGGGCAGAGCTGCCCTTTGTTCCTGCCCAGCACAGCCTGCACTTGGGGAATTGTTACTTTTCACAAGTTATAAATCCTATTATTCCCCCACCTCTCTATTCTGCCATCCCTTTATGCTGAAGATTCTGAGCAGGGAGGGCTACAACCCATCCCTCCTCACCCACAGAGGGGAGGGACAGGGTTTCCCTTAGGAGCATTTTGCTCCTGGGTTCAATGGGTTTCTAAAGTCATCCATCATTTATAGGTCGACTGCCCCACCCCCTTCCCTGGACCAGAGGCGGGTTGAATTTGTAATCACAGGTCTGTGAAAGCTGTAGGAACGTCACAAAGATACAAGCGATGATTTCCAAGCTACCTGTGCCAGAGGCAGAAACTGAGCAGCAAGAGAATGTCCTGTACAAGGACCAAAACACCAGGGACTCTGGAGAGACAACTGGATCTGCCTCCACCATTTCCTGGCCCAAGAGTCTTTGAGGCTATCCCAACCAGGAGATGAGCAATTAGAAGAAAGCACTCCTGCTGGCCCCACACAGAAGGCTACCTTAATGCATCTCAGCCTGACAACAGAAGAGCTCAGTTCTCACCTTCTTTTGCATTATCAGGATGCTGAGTCCCTTTGTCGGGATGGCTTCCATTGTGTGGACAATTGCATTATTTCTCCATTAATAAAACCTGACCATTCAGCCCTCCTGGCCCCAAAGCCTGTGATTGGCTGGCTCAGCTGTGTTTGGAATGCTGTTTTAAGCAGCCTCTGGCACCTATTGGCTGAGCTCTGCAGTCAGTCACTCTCCCCACCCCCCTTATTGTTTGCAATCTGTTGCATTTTGTACTAGGCCATGTGGCCTGTGAGTGCACCAGGAGCCAGCAAACAGGTTCAGGTTAAAGGGCAGGTCAGAAAATGATTTAGGACGCTTCTCCACATCCCAAACTTTTAATATTTCAGTGTTAAACCTTACGGCTGAGGAAGAAATAATTTAACATGCCATTCTCCTTCTCAGAGCAGTATCTAACTCTTTTCCCAGATAGGGAAATAACTTCAGCAGGACAATTGAGTTCAACCCTCTCACATACAAAGGGAGAAACTGAGGCCCAGAGAGAGAAAAGGACTAGTCAAGTCCACATATCACATCAGTAATGTTCTGGATCTTAAACTAAGACCTCCAAACTCCCTCAGACAATGCTGATTCCACTCAGTCAGCGTTGGGAGAGACGCATCTTATTGGATTCTTGATAGAAAAGATTCTTATTGGAGCCAGTAAACAAACACAAGCTTTTGGTATAGAAAACACACGGGTTAAAAACAACCTTAACACAGTGGATTGAAAACAACAACAAAATTTTTTTTTTCATTTTTCCCCTCATGTGTGTGACAACTACCATGCCCCTTTCCCCAGTTCCCTCTCAAACGGTCGTTTTTAAGTTATTCTTAAAAGCTACAGAGAATTTTCTCTGTTCTGATTCATCTGATGCCAGCCTCAGTCCGCACCCTACAAAAGCATACTGTCCCATATTTCTCAGGGGTCTAAGAGGTTGGGCTAAGAACAAGGTAGTATGATGCACAGGATGTTGCAGTCTACTCTCAGTGAGGTTTGCACTTGCCTCAAGGACAGATGGCTGGAGCTCCATGTCCGTGGTGGCCTCAGGACCTAGCTGAAAGCTTGGCACAGAGTAGGGACCAGTGAACATTTGTTGAAGCCCTCAGATAAGCAGGGAAGGAGCTGGGACATCTTTTCACCTCAGGTTAAAGTGGCAAGGCAAGATACAACCTTCTCAGGTACGCAATAGTGAAGTATCCAAAAATCAAGGTGCCTGGTTGGGATGGAGGGTTGAGGAAAGAAGGCTGTCTAGATGGCAGGAAACTGGGGCTCGCTTGTAGTGATTCCTATTTCTAAGCCTTAATTTTTCCATCTGTTAATGGGGAGCTTTCATTCCTCCCTGTCTCATGGGTGGTGGTGAGGATGCACAATGGTAAGGGGTGGGAGGTGCAATGGAAGGGCATCAGCAGCATTTTTAAATAAAGTGGGCTGGAGACTTGGGTTTTTTAAAGGATGATGATCTTAGATTTGCACAAAAGGTTCCTCAGCTTCTTCCCTCCCTAGGGGAGTATGAGTTTGCTAGAGAAAGAGGAAGCAACAAAAATGCTTCAAGCCTGGGGTGGCCGTTAAGGGACCTCTTCCAGTCTCCCAAAGACAGAAATCCCCTAATCCAACCCAAGTTTAGTCCTTTCTCCCTTGTCCCCTGAGAGGACAATCATCATCAAAAGGACGCTAACTCCCATGCCACTTCTCCAAACTGTTTATCAACACACCCACGTGCCGGACAGACACTGCTAGGGGCTACACCAGCAGTTTCAGCCGAAAAAACAGGGAGGTGGGTGAAGGGCTTTACAAAACCCAGCACCTGACCTCAAACAGCGGTAGAACTTTGGCCACCCATGGAGTGCTCCCCTCTTAAGTAGCCCGGGGCGATCCTTACCCGAATCGCTAGGGCTCTCGGACCCAGAGCAGGCCTGGGTCTTGGGCTCGCCCAGCGGACATGGGGCGGCGGGCGCCGGGTTGGGAGCTTCGAGGCTGGAAGCACAGTCTGGGGCGGCGGGCGCCTTGGGCTGGTTCCCTCGGGGCGCACCAGCGGCTAGCCGGTCGCTCACCACTCTCTCCAGGCGTTCCCGGGCGGAGAAGCCGCTCCACATGCAGTCACGGCGGATGATGGAGGCGTAGTTCCTGCCCCAACCTTTCGAGTGGCCCCGGAATTCCGCCTCGTCCCCAGCTCCCCCTCCGGGCCAAGGATCCAGGGAACCAATCCCAGGGGCCAGGTCCCCGGCGCCGGGACCCAAACCCCAGGGCGGCGACGTGGGGGGCGACGGCACCAGCTCGAATTTCTTCCAGATGTCCTCGCTGGGAGCCGTGGAGCGGTAGAAATCCTCCCCGCAGTCATAGTCATAGAAATAGTGCTGGTACGAATCGAAGTCCATGTCCGCTCCCTGCGGGAGGAAAGAGGACGAGCTAACCCGGGTGTGAAGAGGAGGAAGGCGCCCCCGGGTCCCTCAGCAAAGCCGGGTGCCGGGCTCCCGTCCCTCTCCAACTCCACCGGCTTGCAGCCTGCGTACTGCTCTGGTGTCCTGGGAAGCCAGACCCTGGGTCAGCACGCCCAGGGAAGCCACTCAATATGCACGGACTAGGCTGTAGGGAACGAGTTCAAAGCAAACTTTGCCAGCGCTGCCCGGAGCACAGCTACCCGGGCCCAGGCGGGCCGGGCGGGGGCGCACTGTGTCCAGAACGCAGCCTGTCGCCCACCCCCCCGAGACCATCCTTGGGCTGCCCGCCGCCTCACCTCTCTCCGGCCGCCAGCCACTAGGAGCGGACTGGCTCCCCGCGGGCTCGGGGTAGCCGGGCAGTCAGCACACACGCACATGCGCGCCACCGAGCGCGCACCTCACAGTCAAGAGCGCGTACCCCGCGTGCGCGCACTCTTCCGCGCTCGCGCACGGCGGCCCGGACGCTCTCGGGACCGGCGCGGGAGCGCGAGCTGCAGGAGCATTGTTTCCCGACTGCCTTATATCTGGTCGCGCGCCTGGGGCTCAGGGACAAGAGGGCGGGCCCTACAGGACAAGGCCCATCCCTCGTCCCGCCCCCTCTCTGCAGCCGACAGGTGGGGGTGGCGGACTACGGTACCCACCCCTTCTGGCAGGGCTCGCTAACTCTACTACCCTTCTGCTCCTCAAAATTGCGCGCTATGTAGCGCAAAGCGGGTTGCTAGCTAATGCAGCCCAGCGGTCGCCTGATGGAGACGTGACTCTTTAACGAAGCCCCGGCGGTCCCCAGCAGGCTGAACTAAATCCTCTAGCCAACTGTGAGTTGAGGAATAGGGCTATTTCCCGCCCCGCCCCGAAAGCCGGTTTCCTCTGGCGTGCCTGGCTCTTCAGGTGCGTCCGGCCGGCGGGGTACAGTTGTGCCTCCACCAGCGCCACCTGGCGGCTCTTAGCCTTGAGCTCAGACTAGCTGCGGGCATCCGCTTCATCATTCATTTCTTTCGCGTGGTGGCCCAAACCTGGACTGCAAAGGAGTGATGGGGTGAGGATTCCGAGCTTTGGATCCTGAAACTTAATCTTTGTGAGCCTCGGTTTCATCTATAAAATGAAGAGATGGTAATACATACCTCACAGAGTTGTGAGGAATTAAGACAGAACATCTAGAAAAAGGTCCTGGGCCAGGAGGAGAGACAAGCCAAATAGTTTAAGCCCCTGGGTCCAATGGAGAGGAGTAACTTTTTCACAGCGCTAGGTAAGAACTGAAACCCTACTCCCTCCTACGCCCACCCAAAAAACTGTGCGGGAACTGTTCTAGTAGAAGAAAGAGAATGAGGATTTGGCGTCTGGAAACTTCATTCAAGCCCTTGCTTTTCCATTTGCAAACTATGGAGCCAAATCATTCTAAGCTCATCTTTGCAAGTCATTTCTTTGCTCCTCTGTAAAATGAAAATATTGCTGGTCCTGCGTTTCAGGTCAAGGTAATGAATATACAAGCCCTTGTGTCATCGTCTATGCAAACTATGTTCCGGGAGAGAGGAAAAGCTACTTACTGCCAGTCTGAGATAAATGTATATACATAAACCCACTGCTGTCCGGTCTATTCCGACTCATATTGGCCTCCATCGAGTTTCCAAGGCTGTAAATATTTACAGAAGCAGACTGCTTCATTGTTCTCCCGTGGAGAAGCTGGTGGGTTTGAAACCTTAACCTTTTGGTTAATAGCCGAGTGTCTTACCACAGTGCCACCACAGCTCCTTTTTTGCTTGAGATATAGGCCCAAGGAAAGTAATTTGGGAAAGCAGCCAGTATGTCTGGAAGGTTCCACCTGGCATTCACGGTCGGGTCTCTGTCTACCTAGCCTGATTTCCTGTTATCTCTCTTTCCCTCCCATTGCTGTAGTCTAAGAACAAACAACTCATTGTTGGCATTCCAGCAGAAGGAAGTGAGAACTGCAAGTTCAATGTGGCAGGAGCACAGGCACAAGATATAAGTTGATATATGGGTTGAGAAGGCAGAGGAGTTGATACCCACAGTTTTGGATATGCTGGCTCTAAGGCACATGTGAATGGTCCTTAAAGGTAGGAACTAGTTCTTACTTGCTTTGTATCCTCAACACCTAGAACAGCTTCTGGCTGATATTTGTTAACTGAATTACTGAGTGATTCAGGCAACCAGATTTTATTGAGTCAGCCTTTGGTTCTAAACCAGAGGCACAGATCAAAGGTTCAAGTGCAGAGGGATGGAACTGTCTTTTAGTGATTGATTCTGTGGTCCACAGATATCTGAAACAGTTGCTGACAGAATTCTTGGTTACAAATTACAGAAAGCAACTCTAGATAAATTTAAGCAGAAGATCACTTTATTGGAAGAACTTTGGGCATAGATTCTACAGGAGGCTGGGAATCTATGTTTGGAAAATAGGCCTTCTTTTTCTATCTGCACTAGAGCCCTCACTCAGCAAACCCTCTTTGGTTTTATTGTTGTTAGTGATATCTGAGAACCAGGTAGGAGGTGCCCTCTCCCAACACACTCAAAAACTAGGAAAAAAGGAAATTAGGTTGTCTGCTGAGGGTCAGGGTGCTGTTCATTTTGTACATATTTAGTTATTTAAATCGTTTATTTAATGCCTGTCTTCTTCACCAAATTGTAAACCCATGAGAGCAGGGATGAATGTCAGTCTTGTTCACTGTTACAACCTCAGGACTTAGAACAGAGCCCCGCACATCATGGGTGCTTAGTAAATGTGTTGCTTGTTTGACGGAACACAAACTTCTAATGCTTTAAAGTAGAGATGTCTCACCCAGCCTGATGGAGACAGAAAACTCGCAGGTCTAGTTTAGACTGAAATTTGATTCAAGGTATTAATGCAGCTAAGGAAAGAAGGTGCCAGTCAGGAAGGGTCTGGGCAGCCAAGGAAGCAGAGAACAAGAGAGTTGCCAAAGCAACCACCAGCAGTGTCTATCCTAGCACTGTCTGGGGACAAAGTTGCTAGTATAGGAATAGAGGGGATGGAGGCATCATTCATTGGAACCAAGCAATTTATACCCCTCCCCATCTTGCCCACGTTCAGGATCACCAAGCAACCTGCTGAAAACCATTCTGTTCCCTTCATTGATCCGCCCACAGGGAGAGAATGCACTCATCAGTGACTGGCAAGATCCAGTCGGCTTCAAAGCACTGCTTCCTCTTATAAATTAATGAATTGGCATCTGATTTGAAATATCAGTCTCATGAGCCTGGTTAATGTGTGTCTGTTCCATAGAGATGTTGCTGCTTTTAGGGCTAACAACCCTGGCTTCTGAGCTGATGTCTGGATCCAGGATGGTGATGAATTCACCAAGGTAACAAATGCTACCCAAGAGACTCTCAATTTTTCTACACTTTTTTAATTTCCTTTATTCTTCTTAAAATGTATTTTTAAATTTGAATAATACATGTATATGTATATGTACCCCTGATTTCCATTCCCCAAAGGCAATTACATGTTCAGCTATTTTTTTTTTTATGGCTAATAATTATTTCTACATTTTAAGCAACAAAGCATAATCTATTTTTTCCTAATTTAAAAATTTCTATTGCCATCCTACAATAGAAGGAAAGATATAGCTATTTTTTATTGTTATAAATATACGCATAACACATTTCTCATGTGTACAGTTGAGTGACATCATTTACATTAATCATGTTGTGTAACCATCACCACTATCCATTGTCAGATTTCCCATCACCATAACCATAAACTCAATGCTTCATAAACAATGACTCCCCTTTTCCCCTCCTTCCTGCCCCTGAGAGCCACTAATAAACTTCGGTCTCTATACGTTTGCCTCTTCTAGATATTTCATATGAGTGAGATCATACCATATTTGCCCTTGTGGGGTTGACTTACCTCACTCAGAATAATGTTTTCAAGATTCATCCATATTGGGGCATGTATCAGAACTTCATTTCTCTTTATGACTGAGTAGCATTCCACTGTATGTATATGTATATGTTGTTGTTGTTGTTATGTGCTGTAGAGTCAGACCCGATTCATAGCAACCCCTCCTTGGGTTTCCGAGGCAGTATCACTACGGAAGTAGATTGCCCCATCTTCCTTCCGAGGAGTGGCTGGTGGGTTTGAA